TTTTTGTTTTTTTTTTTTTTTGTTTCAATACGACAACGATCAAAGCCTGGTTTGAATTTTTGTTGATTGTTGCGAGAAGATTTGAGTTTGTACCCATTTGCTGTACGTATATACATATATTATGCACTTGGCGAATTTTACGTATACGCATATAACGTACAGCTCGATGATTTTTTACACACGAGCAGCGATGGATGAAACGATTTTTATTGACACTTGCTACGAATTCCATGATAATTATACTTTGTAACAAGTGAAAGTAACCAATAGAACTCACATACCGCTCACATGCTCGTTAAATACAAATGTGTATACATATTATTTTTGTCCGTTCGTGTGAACCACGTTGCACAACTCTCGGATGCTAAACTTTCACAAAAGATATCTCGGACGAAAGTTTTTTCTTTTTTTTTTTTTTAATTTTTTTAAATCCATGCAAACGAAACAAACAAAAAAAAAAACAAAAAAAACAAAAATAACAATTAAGTACTCACCTCGCCAGGGTATCGACGCCGCGCTGCGTACAGTTCATCTCCGCGCGAATCTGCTCGAGTTCGCGCTTGAGCCGCGAGACCCGCTTCCTCGCCAGCGCCACGTCGCACTTGAGCAGATCCGGATCGTATTTCGTGCTGAGGGAACTCGTGCTCGAGCACACTGTTGGGAAGGAAAAAAAAAAAAAACCAAGAGGTTGCTTAGCGTTAGAATTTATGATCAGCGTATCGGCTATATACGATACAGATTTACGGGGATGATGCTCAAAAGTAGTGACAAATAAATGTATTAAACAAAAAAAACTTTAAATTTTCCTCAAATGGTAAAACTATAACTGGGAGGTAAAAAAGGCGTACAAACAGTATAGACTTCTCAGGAGCTGTCTTTTTTTTTCTGGGAAAAATTTCACCGAGTAAATAGTTATTTGCACTACAGGTTAGCACCCGCGCACTTTCAAAAGGCTAATTGTTTACGCGTTACAAGAAAAAGAACTTACAGCTGGTGCGGGAGGCGCCGAGCGTGCTGAGGGCATTGTTCAGGTGATTGTACTCGTCCTGAGCTAGGCACAATCTCTGCTGCTTGACATCGTAGATCTCTTTTTTCGCCTGCAACAAAACCATTTGGAACGGAATTTTAATTTACACTCTGAGCACGTTCATCCATCAAAAGTTTTCAAACCTTGGAAAGAAATTAAAAAATGCAAAACAATGGCGAGCCATCAGGGTAAAAGTAACATTTCGAACGTATCGTTGCAATTACAAATGCGCATCACCTACAACAATAATTTTTCCCCCCTCGAGTGTGCAATAATCGACGAGGGGGGGAAAAAAAAGGATCCAAAAAAGATCAGAGGATAATATCTAAACGTCCAATGCTCCGATTGTTCGGCTCGACTGCCGTGTCTGATAGCGGCTCTCTGGAAATTTGGGTCGCGATTTGAATACTGTAACACCATCGGCCGCGGCGAGGGTTCACTGGACCAAAACAATTATATGCATGCATAGTACACATATACGTACGTGTATACAATACGTGATGATAATCGTGTGCACCCATACAGCCAATCTAGCGATCTAAATCGCTCCCTGGCCCAAATTCATACATTTAATGCCTGCAACGTACCTACACGCGTACATCTGTAATCGTTCGTGTGTATTATTACAATGGGGTGCAATTGACGCGCTTGAAAAGTGAAACGACATCCGCGATTCGGCTTTATCGGTGTGCCGATTTTGCGATCTCAATATGGTCAGTTTGGCGATAATTTCCTTCCGCAATCGTTTACACGTCTCCCGGTTAACAGATGGATCGGTATCGGTACGAAAGACAAAAAAACGGAGAGTGGGGGGGGGGGAAATAAAAATAAAGAAAAACACAAGGACGACTGGGAGGAATACGCACCCTGGTATACGAGCTTATAAATCGCGTGCCGAAACGAAGACGAGCGTGTTCGGTAGCCCGCGCGAAAATTATTGATTCCCGATCAAAGGAGGGGGATTCTTTAGCGCACAAGGCTGGGGGGGGGAGAGAAACGCCAAAAAACGCCTTCAGGGAATCATCGATGGATGCACGTATACACGAAACGCATCGATAATCAACACTCGGTCTTTCTCTCCGCCCCGGGAGTATATATATATATATAATGTACCTCTCGAGGCGGGCGAGGAAGAGAGAAAAGGACGAGCGAGGATCGGCATTCCTTCTCCTCTCGATTTAGCTGCCGCGAGAATCTCCGCAGTCCCCGTATAGCTGGCCGGGGACTTTTCGATTCCGCCGCTGCTCCTCCTTCTCCTCGCCATCTCTCTTTTCGAGCGTTCTGTTTTCAAATTCCGCGGTTGGGCAAGCATAAGCGCGGGCTTCCTTTCATCGGTCTCGCCGAACGATTCGCACATACCTGCACCTTATGGCTCGTGATTTCGGCGCTCGCCCATTGCAATTTATACCATCTTCTCGCGTTTATAAACGTACAATCCATGAGAAAAATCATGGACATCGGTACGGATGGCGGGTTGTTTGTTCCATAAGATAAAAATGCCGATCGTGGGAGTGGAGCCTTGACGCGAGACGAGTGCGTAACCGGAGGAACACCATATCGGGGAATCTTGGATTACGCACAAATCGAGGACCGAAAGGTGCGAGAAACCGGTAAGGGATTCGCTCGGTTGGATCCAAGAGACGGAGAAACGGCGAGGGGGGGGGGGAGAAAACATGACATTCCTCGGATTCCCATCGGATTATGGATCGGTTGACCGTGAGAGCGACGAGCCATACCGCACACCTGAGAAAACCGATATGAAAAATACTTTGAGAGCAATATATTGTTTTATTGCTCCGGGCGAAACTCGAAAATTCCCAATCAACCGTACTAGGAAAACGATGATTCACCATCACCACCACCACCACCACCACGAGCACAACAACAATCAATGCACCAAACAAACTAAATAACTGGACCAACCAATACACATTTTGAAAGGGGAAAAAAAGAGAGAGAGAGAGAGAGAGAGTCGGGCACTCTTACGTATTCGCAATAGTAGTAAGCGGTAGCGTCACTGTCATCGCGCCTATAGCACTGTTCCCAGTAAAACCTCTGGATCTGCTCGTCGTTCTCGTAATCGTTTTGATAGCACATCCGCATCCGGTACCTCGACACAACGTTCTCATATATCTGCTCCTGGTGATGATTTTGTTGCTGCTGTTGCTGTTGCTGTTGTTGCTGCTGCGTCTGTTGGTACTGATAGTTTTGGTTCTGATAAACGTTTTGCCGGTAATACTGTAACTGTTGCTGCTGAACTTTGTTCTGCTGCTGTTGTTGAGCAGGTTGTTGTTGTTGTTGCTGTTGTTGTTGTTGCTGTTGTTGTTGTTGTTGTTGTTGTTGTTGTTGTTGTTGTTGTTGCTGTTGCTGTTGGTAGAGCTGGTGGAGCTGCAAGTGCTGCTGCTGGAGCAACAATTGCCGATAATCGCAGCGCGTCTGGCAATTGTTGATGATTTGGCGCTGTTGGGGGTAGTAAGCCTGGCCAGCGAGTCCGTGATTGTTTTTCCTGTTCCTATTGTTGCCGGTACTCGCACGGCCATCGGTGGTATTGTGGCCATTGGTGTTGATATCGTTGTTGGCGGTGCCATTGTAATTGTCGACGTAGGTGCGGTATTGGTGCGCGGGTACGAGTACGCAGAGGGTGTACTGGCGGTCCATGCCGGCTCCACCGCCAGCCGAGCGCCGAGTACGCGGATCGGAATACTCGAGAGCCGCTTATAATACACACGGGCAGCGGCTCCTCTCTCCCTCGATGCACTGCAGGCCACGGGGATAAGTGTGTACCACGTACAGGTATATATATANCGATTGGATACTACCGACTGTACCTACTGTTGTACACACTCGCTACATTAAAATGTATATATATATATGTGTGTGTATGTATATATACGTATCCCATGTAACGCGGAGCTGCTGCGGCTTTGGCCGAGGCGCGCTCTTGGCCTTCCGTACCCTTCAGACGGCGCAGCGGCCCCCTTACCTTCGCCGCCTCCCTCCTCGGATATCTATCTCTCTCTCGCTTCAACTCTTGTGTATGTGTATATACGTGTGTATGTATATGCGGCGCGGCGCATACTTTCGCACTCCCTCGCTCCTTGGTGAGCTAGCTTGGCCGCGGCTCCGCTGCGGAGCAGGATCGCCTCATCTTCGCGAAGGCCTCCACCAGACTGGCCGGTTACGGGCCCGAAATTCCGATCCCCACCTCCTCCTCTCGCTGGCGCGCGCGCCGTGTGCTCTTCCTCCTCTCCTTCGAGCCTCCTCTCTCTCTCTCTCTCTCTCTTCCTCGCTCAACGAGCCTTCCTCTTGCACCGCCGCAGCCCGAGGAGCCTCAATTTTTAAGGGATCTCCTTTTTTTTCCCTCTACTCCTCCTCCTTTTTATCCTCCTTCTCCTAGTCTTCTTCTCCCTCCTGCGAGATCCTTTGGGGCCCCTCTCTCTCTGCTGATGCTGCTGGACTCTCTCGGCTCCTTCTTTCTCCGGGGCCGACGGGCGCTCTCTGCAGCTCCGCCGTTTCTCTCCTTCTTTCCACCGATGCTCGCGGACGAAGGAGATCACTCGTCCTTTCTCCCCGCGACTCTCTTTCTTCCCCGGCTTAAAAAGACGGGCCCTCATATCTCTCTCTCTCTCTCTCTTATTGTAAAACGATAATGATGATTGTATTATGCCAATAGTAATAATAATTGTATAATGTTATGCCATGTAAAATTGCTCTTGTGTGTCCTATCACCCTTGGCATTAATAAAAATTGTTAAATTCAAATTCTCTTGCCCAGCGCGTCCATGAGCGTACACGACCATCCACAACCGATCCTACCATATACGCGGCTTATCGGATTTTTGGATTTCGATCGTGGATAATGGGGTCACTCCCGCTCGGCCTTCCATTTCTTCGTTCATCCGACGGAACAATCGTTACGTACGGTAAGATACGCTCCATTACCTTTTGCCTACCTGGACCAGTTGGTATTATACACTTCCACCATGACAAGAATATGATTATGTATATACATGCACGCAAGTGCCGATATACATATACATATATATTGGGCCCAGTGAGGTCAGGGTACGACCCTGCGAGGGAAGAAAAAAATCAAAAGAGAGAGATATATGCGGTCTCGCTCTTTCTTTTGGGCCCATGCACGGCTGTACATTATATATATATACAGGTATAGCAAAGCCAACGCTGGTGGAAGCTGTGGTATATACACACACACACATATATATATATAGCACAGTAGGTAGTAGAACCGACCTTGAGTCGCACATTATTATATGCCCCGTCTTCGTTGGAATTTCTGGGGGCACTGGATGCTCCAGCGTGCGCGTGTATATCCCATATGTATATATGTTTGTGTGGCCTCATCAGCATGACTGCAATCATCTCCTCGAGCTTCGAAAAAAGACGGAGAGAGAGAGACGGAATAGTACATAACACACCTCGTGAGCGAGGCCAAAAATGTCTTAGATTTCACGTGAATAAACGCGGGTGATTAACGTGAAATCTAATATATTGTTTAATCCCTCCGAACGTGGTGCGTATTTTATTTTTCCCCAATCCTGCACCGAGAATTTCCGCGCAGTATATGGTGAAAATTCTTTTTCTCCTGCGCGTGTGCACGGGTATTTTTTTTACACACAACTATCTTTGCCTTTTCCATTATTCGAGACGAGCGAGCGTATAATATGTATATACCCACCTACAGTTGTTTGTTTCGTGCGAAAACCTCCCTGCGCGTCATTGTGCGCGTGCACGCGTAATGGCACGTACAACGTCATCATATACTGAGATGCCGATGATGATAATGAAGCGTCCCGGAGGGCCAATTTTCGCCGGCGACCCCCTCGAGAGCACTATGCGGCAGAAAACCGTGCGTGTTTTTCCCCTTTTCGGGGCCAAAGCACGTAGGACAATAATGTAACGTACAAATACATACCGGTAGTCCAAACGGGGACCAAAGAAAAACAAACACCAAAGAGAGGGGGAGGGGGGGGGTACAAACAGTTAGATCCTTCAATTGCGCCTCTGCCAATATTTAGCTCATCGTCGGCTCGGGCCTTGTTTTTCAAAA